AAGCAACCCCATACAGAAATATCTTCGATTAGAGCAGGAAAATCTTTGCAGGACAGTCCCTAACACACAGCCCCCTTACAATTAATCAATCTAAAGTCTTTCTGGACCCACTTGGGGCCTTCGGCTCCTCTTGCCACGTCGCTTGCCACTGCTTGTCGTAAAACGTCGTCTCCTCCAACAGCTTCTTGAGCGTCTCGACATCCTCGTTCTTTCTCACAAGGAGTACGCCTGCCACGGCTACGAATAATAGGGTTTTACAGAAGAAGTTGCCCATTTGGTCAACCAGCCCAACGCCGGTCAAACTGTCCACGAAATAGGCCATGAAGAATCCGATCATCGCTGCACGTCCTGCATAAGTATAACAAAAAGTTCACACGCGTACACAAAATCATCATCAGAAAATTGTTTGTCTATTCTATCACCCATACTCAATGCAAGCAAATGGGGACAAGAAAACTATTACTTTGAGAAAAAAATATTACTTGATAAATTTTTTATGGTGTATGTTGGAATAGTATTTGCGTATGTGTGTATGCATGTAGAGAGATATGTGTAAATTTACCATTAAGCAGCTCGGCTTCGGGAAGATGAAACCTTTTCATCCATGCCCACCAAGGAACAATGGAGGTGTCGAATATTACGGGGTCTTCATTGCTCGATGACTGTGGATTGTCTTCCATCCACTTCCTCCTCTTTACTTCTGCAATTCGTTACACTCACAATGTTTCACCAGTTCTTAACCCCAATAAGAATTATAGATACAATTTTGACAGAGAAAATGGCAAATGCTCACAGATTAAAACATAGTTGGAATTCAATTCGGTTCTACATATAAATTAAACNTAATGAATCAATCCATGTCTGATCCTAGGTCGAACAAGAACACTGAGTAAAGGCTCAAACATTTTTCCTCTGGAAATACAATTAGCAAAATCTTTCACTTTCTCTAAAGCTCACCGATTGTGTCTGATGAGAATTTTCTTATTCCGGTAATCACTTCTTTCTAATGACAATAACCAGGGGTAGCAAATTAATCAATTGGAACACATTTTGGAACTCATGAGCATGTACCCAGGTGCCATGAGTTTCCAAAGCCAGAAAACAAACTAAAAAGAAGAAAAAATTGAAAAAAAAAATACAAAATACATAAATTTGAGCACTTCCTGAGTTATTTAGATCATAAACTGATTTCCGAGTTTCTCATTATCTAGTCTAATCTACTTTGTCTTGGTAAACATTCTAATTATCAGAGGAATTATGATAAACAAAAGGCAACTCTGTATTTCTAATAGGGGCAGCAAATTGTTCTATCGTTATGTCGTGTTCGTGCTTCACTATAGCATTTTCGTGTGAATTATTTCTTGTCGTGTCAGCCATTGCCACCCCTTTTCACTCTAATTTTATACTGATCAGCTCATCCCTTTTTTACACCTTCAGTTTGTTCATCTAAAGACTATAAGTCCCACTGCTTATACATAAAATGCACCAAATCATCTTCTTCAAGAACTATAAACACTTGCACCAAGAAATCGATCAACATCTCAGACCTAACAAAATACCAGCTTAAATTTCGAGTAAAATGTTCACTAAATTTCGACAACAGAACACAAACAATTCGGTACCACTTTTCAGCTTTTGATAAGGGATAACAACAATTACCTGCATCAATCACGGCATCCCAATCCGTACTGCCATTTTTGGCAAACTGCTTCAGGTCCCACGTCCCTCCCACCCATCGCGGGTCTCGAAAGCTCGTCACGGGCTCCGGCAACGGGTCCGAGGCCGACCCGTTCGAGCCAACGGTATCCTCAGCAACCGGAGAAGTCTCCACGGTGGCAGAGACGCCGGAGCCATTGTCAGAGCTCACACACAGCTGAAACCCAAGCTTTTTAGAGGGGCCCAAAGGGGGATGAAGAGGTTTGACAATTGAATGGGTTTTCCCATGAGAGTGTGAGTGGTGAAGGCAGGTAGCCGGAGCTGAGGAGAAAATGGCGAGGGACATTGTTGGAAAAATTTGGGGGTGAAGAAGATTACCGTTTACCAGCGGAATAAACGAGGTGGAAGATGATGCCTCGGGCGATTTTGGGCCGCAGAAAATCAGTTGGGTCGATTTAATTTTATTTTCACTTTTTTTTTTAAATGCATTTTCATAGTTTTAATCTCGATTAGGAATCGATGAGACAGCCTTATGGTATGATTAATATAATAGAATGAAACTAGTGTGTATCCCGTGCGCTGCACGGAGGGGTTTTTACTTAAAACCTTTTCTAAGACTTTATATTAAACATAGTTATTTATGTTTAACATCTTATTATTATAAAAAAAGAAATACCAAATATGAAAAATTATATATTATTTATTTGAATATAATGAGTGTCCCCAACCAAACTAATAACATCCAACATATGATATATGATAAAATTAATTATATGATCGTCATACTTTTTGAAAAAATATACATATATTTCTAATAAACATGTAAGATCCGCATTTAAATTTGTATTTGGATATGGGATGAAAAATGAATATGTACNNNT